ATAATTATACTAATGAATTTTAAATTGAAGAAAATTCTTTTATTTGTGCGGTAAAATATAGAAAAATAAAATGCACTTTAAAAATATTACGGTTTAATGTATATGTAATATATCCTTAAAGCTCTGAATTATATTTGAAAGAAATGTTTAAATAACCTGATACAACATTTTTTTTAGAGATCTGTGGCATTTTCAATATGCATTTAGCAGAGCTTTTATAAGTACTGGTGAATATACAGAAGCTATTGTTTCGAAAGAAGGTCAAAAACTTTCTTTGAACATCGCTAACAACCCTTGTTAATCACACTGAATATATATGTAAAGATTCGATACAATAGCTTGATATTTGTAATCCTGTCATTTTTCAATTTCCTTCTGGTGTATATGATTCTCATTTATGAAGGTTTTTTGTAATAATTTTTCTTTCAAGTTAGGTACATTTTTTTCGGGATATTTTTCAAGAATTTTATTTTAATTTTACATATAATAGATATATTTTATTTGAACTTGATGATGAAAGAGAATGCGGAAATGTATAATAACCAGAAAGTCAAATACTGCATTTGCTAATGTAAAATCTGTGTGCAAAAATTTGAAACAATTGACAAAGACCTTGTCAAAAGAAAAGTATATGAATAATTATTAGTCAAGTGACATTTTTTACTTTGATGTTACGATCAACTTCAGTGGAATCTATTTTTACGTGTACCACACAGAAGAGTAATAAGACTGAAGAGAAAGGAAAATTTATAAATACAAAAAATAAATTAGAAGTAAAAAATACGATTAAAAATTTAAAAAAAAAGAAAAATTCCGATATTACGAAAACTGAAATCGAAGTATCTTGAACATAAAAGCAATATTAAAGTACCACTCAAAGAGGAAGAGAGAGAGAGAGAGAGAGAGAGAAGCTTTGAGTGTTTTCAAGAACAACATCTTGACTTTTATCTAACAAGTAACAAAATCCTGCTAAAGAATATTCTTTTCAAGGTCGTTAGGTTTCGAAAGATAATAACTTTAGACGTATCTACTAACCAGTCGATAATCTGATAATTCAAAATATTAAAAAAATAACATATTTTAAAAAATATTTTCAAGTTATATAATTATGTGGACATCCGCATGAAAAGGTCCCACTTTGTCGATTACAATAAGGATTATTTTTGCGTTTAATGTTAATGCGAATATAATCCTTATTGTAATCGACAAAGTGGGACCTTTTCATGAGGATGTTCACATATACTATAGTTTCCTAATACAATAGTAAAGTTGTGAAATTATAAGGGAAAATAACCTTTAATAAATATTTCTTTTATGAATTATGAAATTCCTCAAAAGAATATTTCAGAAAATATTTCTTCTATGAAAAGAAATTCTGTGCGAATTTCTCATAACGATTGTATATTATATATATATATATATTAGCCTTTTACTGACACTTGATTCTTTTAACCCCTTGTTTGCAACCCTAGACACTTCAAAAAGTTCTGTCGTTGTATATGCTTATAGATCAAAGGTTAAAAAAAAGTCCAAGCAGTTAATGTCACGTTCGCACTTCAATATTCATCCCTAATTTCCCATGTGAGATTCGCATTTTATAAATTTCAAATTACATTTTTCCTTTATTTTCACTTTTTCACGATATAACCCACATTTGACAACTGCATCTTATTTATATTCTGTCATATTTTTTTTTACAACAATTAAAGACAGAATGAATTTTTTTTTTAATTTTTATCATTTTGACTTAGAAAACTGAAATACCGCCATATTGGATCCGCCATTTTTAATTTTTAAAATCTGACTTCAGATTCGTAATCAGCAACCTCAAAAACCCATCAAGTTTCATATAAATCCATCAATTTAAAAAAAAATTTATACTACCAAAAATTTGACACGTTTTTTGAGATTATGTTTGACCTATGAGCTACAATTTTGAGGTTATGTTGTGTTATGTCCTATACGATCTTTATATAAATAACCTCAAACTCTGCGGTCCCTTGGCTTCACAGAAAAAACTTAGTCTCATTTTGATATGCAGCAAAAATGAGTCAATGCTAAACGACATAGACAGTGGCGCCATCAACCTGGCTCATTTTTGCTGCTTATCAAAATGAGTAGCATACATTATCATTTTGAGTTCAGGTTTTTTCTGTGTTGTGACCTTAAATTTTAAGGTTATATTGGACCTAAGGCCCTACAATTTTGAATTTATGTTTGTCGAACATAGCCTCGAATTCAACGGTCCCTTGAAATCGAATTTTAAATTTAATTTAAAAAAAAAATTCTCTCTCGAAAATGACCAGTTTGTGGAGAATCAACCCATATAATGTTTAGTGTCTTGAGGTCAGGTTCAAGAACAGAACAACTCACAGCTTGAAGTGCATGATGAGAGGTGTATAAGCGCGAATGCCATGATAAAATTAGCTCTGCCATTTTCGTTTAATCTCGCGAAACGACACAAGATCGTTCTCCCGATAGTTGCCTCGAAGAATTTAATTCATGAGTATCATCACTTTGTAAACTTTTGTCGTAATTTTGGATTATCATAAAACTCAATTAGGTAATATTAATAATATTAAAATAATAAATTATAATCACTTATTATCTTTTAATAATATAGGTAAAGGTATTAGATATTAGATTTATTAGGTCACATATTATATTAATTTTTATAATAATTTTGATTAAAAACAAAACAAGAAAAGATGTAATTTTAAACTTAGTAACAAAAATTCAGAAAATTTTACATTATTTAATAAAAATTTACTTTTATTTTACTTTAATAAATATTTAATAAATAGGTATTTTTGTTAAAAATACAGAAATTATAACGGTTTGCGAATATAGTTTATTTGATAAAAAAAAATTAATTGTTTCATTTAAATATTTATTTGATAATAGTCAAGTAAACGTAAGTCGCAAATTAAAAAAAATATTTAAGCATAAAATGTATAATGAATAATTAATTAAATGAACAATACATAAAAAAACTATACTTACGTAAGTATGAGACAAGATGAAGATTAAAGAAATAATGATAATATTAAAGGAAATAATAGTAATTAAAATTAAAAGGCCAAAGTGTATCAAAGACAAGTTTTGAAGCATATATATATAGTCCTTTGACATGTATACTATATATATATATATATGCATAATAACCACAAAGAGACTGTGAGCCAAACTTATCAGTAAATCTTTCAGGGTTGTCTATTCTAAAGAGAAATGCTAATTCACCCCTAAAAACAAGAAACAGAACAATAACAATTACAAAGTGGATTCAAATCGAATTCAAACGTATGATAACTTCACTCTGATTGTACTTTACTAAAAAAGTAAGGTGCATAAAAAAATTGTACTGAAAAAAAAATTTTTAATTATATTTTTAATTTTAATATACGTATATATATAAACATATTGCAATTAAAATTCTCTTCATATACGCACATTGTTCCCAAGGCAGTAATTAAAAAACAGCTTTACATAAAATAATGGAATTTACAGCCTTTTTTTAAAAAAAAGAAAACTCTTGTCTAAAGGGATGCAAAAAAAATAAAATTTCTTAACGTTGTTTTATTTTTATAACCGCGTGGCATCTGACCTATTATAAAGGATGGTTTTAGAGAATTCTAGATTGTGCCATTAAATAAATAATTATTTCAGCTAAGACTAAATGAGAATAACCAAAATAGATGTCTTCCCATTACACACGCGCAAAGTCTAAAGTCATTAATTAAGTAATTCTCTAATTATTCAGTCTAACCTGATTAACAATTTTTGGAGGAGAAACAATTCTCTCTGGATAATTTCATGTATAAATTAATCTTCCTCGAGTTAAACTATTAATTATATTCTTGTTAATTAATTTATAAGAGCAACCTAACGGAGTTAAATAAATAATTAATTTAATACCAGCTTATTCATTTTCATCTAAACTTATATATCAATTTAATTTAACATATTATATTTACAATTTGATTCAAATTAATAAATTTAATGACTTCCTTTATTATATTACATTTTTTTCTATGATATTTCCTCTCCATATTATATTTTTTTTTCCGGCTATAAAGGATGATTAAATTTATTAAATTTTTTTTTATTTGTAATTTGTTTATTTAGAAATATACTTTTTAAATTTAATTATTTGTTAATAAAATTAAACTTAAAGTAATATGAATTTTCATAACAAATAATCAGGGAAATTATATTTAAGCTTAAATTTATATAATATGTTTTTTTATACGCATTCTATAACATTTCAAAATTAAAAAGTGACAAATTAAATTTATTACATTAAAATTAATAATTAATAATTAAAATTATTACAAATTAAATTTTAAAACAAAAGATAACAAAAAAAATGTTTAATCTTTTTAAATAGTTTATGTAAAAGAATTTTTTAAAAAATAAATTTCTAATTTTTGTTTTACATTAATTTTTGACTAGGATTGATCGATATCATCCTTGCTGTATTATTTAAAAGATAACAAAATTATAAATAAATATATAACATCCTGACACATTATTAATTAATCCTCTTCTAATGTAAATGCTGATGAAAATAGGAATTAAAAATTGATACCATACTTATAAATACAAGTAAAGTTCAAAAGTAAAAATAAATAAAAAAAAATAATTTCCAAAATGTTATTATTGAAAATTTAAAACAGACAATTAATCATTTATTTTAACATGTGCGATTATAATTAATTTAACAATTATAATATATATTGAGAAAAACCTCAAATTTATCAAAAATTAACGGTTTCAAAACAAATAGTACGACTTTTGTTGCAGATGGTTATTTACATATATATATATGTTTCATGCACGTATAAAAATATTTAAATATATATATTTCTCGTATTGACATTATTTATCGATTATTATAGTATAAATGTGTTATTATAAATAATTCTATTCAATTATTATCATTATTTATTCATATAAAAAGATACTAAAGATTGAATATCTATTATTATAAATTACTTTATTATTTCCTCCAGTATCACAATTAGAAACAGTAAAAACTTTGTTTGAAATTTAAATAATAAAATAATGCAACTGTAAAATATATATTCACTTAATTGACTGTAAAATAATCAAAATTTTTAGATTCCTTTTGAAAGGATTTATAAAAAAAAATACAGGTGCGTTAAATATTCAATTATACAATATTTGTTCAAAGAGTGACGCTAAAATCTACTGTTTTTTAGTCCATTTTTGGGCCATCGAATTTCGTATTTAAACATAGTCCAAAGTGCTTTATACTGAGGGACGATAATTCCATAAACGTTTAGAGTTGAGGATAATCTTTGTTTTGATGCAGTGTTAAAAAAGGGTTAAAAAAGAGTTAAAAAAGAGTTAAAAAGTGGTTAAAATATAACAATTAAAATACGCTCAGATTCGCTTGAAACTTATTACACGGGGGTTTTTAGGGTCGCTGATTATGAATCTGGTGCCAGTTTTTTAAAATTCAAAATGGCGGATCCAAAATGGTTGAACGATTTTTAAAAATCTTGTCTGCAATTGTGGATCCGCCATTCTGAATTTTGAAAAATTAACGCCAGAATCGTAATCAGGGACCTCAAAAAACCCCCGAGTAACAAGTTTCAAGCGGATTTGAGCGATTTTTAGAAATTATGTCCGTCATTTTGGATCCGCCATTTTGAATTTTTGAAAACTGATGCAAGATTCGTAATCAGCGTATATTAATTGTTATATTTTAACAACTTTTTAACTCTTTTTTTAACACTTTTTATTTTTTGAGGTTATGCTCAACTCTAAACGTTTATAGAATAATTGTCCTTCAATATAAAACACTTTGGAGTATATTTAAATTTGAAATTCGAAGGCCCAAAAATTGGGCTAAATTTGGCGTCACTCTTTTGTGATGTCATTAAGAAAATATTATGAATATTGTAACAGTCATAAGTGCTGCCACAGTAAAAATTGTTTAATAAATACTTTTTAGTTTCTTCAATTATGCATATTTCAAATTTTCTAAATTCTCTTCAAATTATTTATATTGTTACACTTTACACCTGCATTAATGGTGATGGATCTATTTTACAATCTCAACATATGCCGTCTAAAATTAATGAAACTTTAAATGGCACTGAATCAATTGAGGAACAATTGACAAGAAAAAAAGAAATTGCACATCTCACAAATCTAGGAATGGATGAGCCAGAATTATTTTATAATTTAACGCATCCAAACAATTTTCCAAAGAACTGCACAAATTTGAAACAAAAGATGAGACATCTTTACAAGTCGACGAATTATTATTCTCATTCTCGTGCATTGTGGTTTAATTTTGTATTAAAATGGGCAATGAAATTTTACAGAGAAGGTAATTTTTCTTCTTCTATAAGATTTGAAGATTATTTTGCCATTCGATACTACACCATCAAAGGATATGGAGAAATGATATTTGATACAGATGTATCGAGACGAATTAAAAATGCACTTTTTAGTTTGGCAATTACACAATCCAGTGATCCAAATGAACAAATGGATTTTACTCTATTTAGAGGAAACACCGAACTAACATCATGGTACAAGGAACAATTTAATGAAACAAAAAATGAATTACAATGGCATACATTTATTGAAACAACATCAACTCGTAAAGAGGCAGAATTTATGACTGAAGATGGAAAATTTTCAGATGCATTTCTTATGACTGAAGGTGTTTATGAAATGCATTTTTCAAAACCATATCTGAGAGCAAACATCAATAATTATACTTCTTTTGGTGGAAATAACGAGACCGTTCTAATTCCAGGAATGAAATTTTTCATTAACGAAACAATTTGGAATAAAGAAAATGGGACTAACGAACGTTTAACAATTAAAATGACACACAATGATGAAAATATAGATTTATTTGATCAACAAAAGAAAGTTATGAGTGAATTAAAAAAATTACGTGAATCTGGAACTCAATTTTATGTATGTTAATTATTATCTTTATCCAAGATATGCAATCCATATTTTTTTCATTTTTTTTTTTCAATTTAGATAATTTGTGAAATTATTTTCTAATGTTATAATTTATTATTATCTATAAAAATGAAAAAAGGAAAATTTTAAACAAGTGTGTAAATACTTTTATTTTTTAAATTAACAAATAATACATATCATTTTTGACAGAATTGGATATTAATAAGTTTTTATTTATCTTTCTTGTTTAATTTTAATGAATAATTTAATATTACAAATATGATATCCAAGTGAACATTAAAAGTAATTATTCTTTATATATCTAAAAATATATCTTCTTAATTAAATAGAGATTTTTATTTCTAATACATTTATATTGACACTTGCAGGAAATTTCAGTCACATTGTAGAATGTAAATAAACATTTATTTAATTTTTAACAATTTTTTTGTCCTTTCAAATTTTAGATTATAAAGATTCCATCTTTAATTTTAAATTCGTAATTGCCTATCACAAAAATAGAAACTTTTTTAAAGAATAAAGTTGTATAAAACTTATTTGTTATATTGCACACAAATTTATGAATTTTTTGAAAACTGTCACGCAGATAAAATTCCGATTATTTTTTCGCATTTTTTGAATAAGAAAATAAAAAAAAATCATTTCGAAAACAAACAATTCGACAATTTTACAGGTGATCATATTTACATATTATAATATACGTTTGATATATGTAAAAAATTTAACAAATATGTTTCTAATAATTATTTACACGACATTTTGATGAAAAATTTATTGGAGATAATTTAAAATTATAATCATTATTTTTTGTGTATAAAAGACAAGAATTTGAACTCCCTAATATCAGAATCATAGTAAAACATTGTTAAACATTTAAACAGTAAAATAATGCAAACGTAAAATAAAAAAGTATTCTTTCATTTGACTGCAAAAAAAAACAATTTTCAATTTCATCTCAAAGGATTTCAAAAAAAAATACAGGTGCACTTAATATTCAATTATAATTTTTGTTTAAATTTCATGACGCGCTAGAAAATAGAAAAAACTTCATTAAACAGTAATTTTTATTTTATTAACATTTTAGAAAATTTAAATACTTTTTGCTCTTTTTTTTTGTTTTTTGATTGTTTAAATATAATAATCATCATAATATATTTTAGCAAAATCAAATTACGATAGTGAACATTACGAGAATTGAGATTTTTCATTTTTTAATTTATAAGACTTTCCTGAGGAAAGTTTCCGATTTTTATTTTAATCTGTATCAAAATTTTACTGATCAATAAGTTTTGATAAATATTATTTTGAGGCATTTCGAAATTTTTTTTTCGAAATCTATAATCAGTTTTTAGCCGAATTTAAGTTTGTATGTAACTTAACAAAAAATTCTTTACGGATAATTCCGAATTAATTTTTATTCCGAAGCTGAATTTTAGATTTTAAAAGCATTTTAATTCAGCTTCAGAATAATATGGAATAAAACAAATTTGTTTCGAAAAGAATTTTTGTTTATTTATTTAAATATATACAAATTTAGATTTGGATAAAATTTGGAATGTCTCAAAATAAAAGTTATTAAAATTTATTGAATATATCATTCCAAAATTTTGGTCAAGGATTTTATAATAAAAGAAATTTATTAAAGTATTTGATCTATATCTAAATTTATATTTAGATTGAAAATATAGAAAAATAAGGTGAAAATGATTGTATAAAAGTTGTATATATATATATTATTTATTACTGAAAATAAATAAAAATTCTTAAAAAAATTTTCAGTTCCCCAAACATGGATTTATTAAATTTTCTAAACACTCTGCAAATTATTCATATTATTACACTTTACACCTGCATTAATGGTGATGGATCTATTTTACAATCTCAACATATGCCGTCTAAACTTAATGAAACTTTAAATGTCACTGAATCAACTAAGGAACAATTAATAAGAAAAAAAGAAATTGAACGTCTCACAGATTTAGAAATGGATGAGCCAGAATTATTTTATAATTTAACGCATCCAAATAGTTTTCCAAAGAATTGCACAAATTTAAAACAAAAGATGAGACACCTCTACAATTCGACTAATAATTCTTTATCTCGCAAATTATGGTTTAATTTTGTTTTAAATAAGTCAATTAACTATTACAGAAAACGTAATCTTTCATCTTCTTTAAGATTTGAAGATTATTTTGCCATCAGATATTATTCCATTAAAGGAAACCATGAAATGAGATTTGATACGGATATATCGAGACGAATGAAGAATGCTCTTTTTAGTGTGGCAATTACACAATCCAGTGATCCAAATGAAAAAATAGCTTTTAAATTATTTAGAGGACAAACTAAACCAACAACGTGGTTCAACAAAAAATTTAACGAAACAACTAAGGAATTAGAATGGGATGCAATGACTGAAACAACGTCAACGCGAATAGAGGCACAACTTAATGCAGGAGATGGAAAATTTTCAGACGTATATAATGAAATGACGGAAGGTGTTTATGAAATAAATTTTTCAAAACCATATTTGAGTGCAAATATCAAGGATTATATTTATTTCAATGAAAATAATGTGACAGTTCTACTTCCAGAATCAAAATTCTTTATTAACGATACAGATTTTTACAAAGAATCAGAGACAAATGATTATTATAGATTTTGGAGTCAACGAAATTCTCCGTCAAATCAACTTTTGACAATTAAAATGACATACAATGATGAAAATATGGATTTATTTCATCAGCAGAAGAGAGTTATGAGCAAATTGAAAAAATTACGAGAAACGGGAACACAGTTTTATGTATGTTAATTATTATCTTTGTTCAATATTTCGGAACGAATGAATAAATTTTAAAAATCATTAGTTAAAATTTTCAGTTTCTAGAATTTTATTTAATATTTAATTATTTTTGAGCCGAATTTTTATTTGTTCGAATTATTATTTTGCAGAATTTTCATTAAATTCTATCAATAATAATTCGAAAAAATAAAAATTCATCTAAATTAAAATTCTATGTAGTGAAATTCTACACCATAATAAAAATTCATTAAAATGGTTATTATGTTGTATGAAAATTCGAGCAAATAAAAATTCTGTAAAATGAATTTTCGGTTATACAAAAATTCTGTGATACAGAAAATCGGTTTAATGAAAATTTTGCATAATAGTAATTCGAATAAATAAAAATTCGGCTCAAAAATAATATCAAAAAGGAAATTTTATAAAATGCAAATTTTAACTAATTTTTTTTAGAACTTATTTATGCGTTCCAATATTTCTTACTCCATATTTTCTTTTTTGTCCTTGAATCTAATGTTTAAATATTTATGAGTTGACAAAAATATCTAATTTCCATTTATTTATACAAATACATGTGTTGCAAAATAAAAATCGATCACTATTCTCTTATCTTTTTACCATTTGTCTTTTTTTTAAACTTATACACGTGTTTATAAAAATATTCAAAAGTTGAAGGAAGCAAAATTCAGATTTATTGAAAAGTTATTTTTATTAAGTATTTCTGTTAAAATGTCCGATATAAGACAGAATTTCAACAAAAAAATCATTTCATCTTTTAATTGCTTCTGGTCGGACAAAAAAGTTTCCACCTGCTGATCTTATTGACATTTTATTCGAAGTATATAAAAAACGGAAAAAAATTAAACATGCTATATATAACTTATTGTGTAATAAAAGAAATGTATCGAGGAAGCATCTATTCTCATAGGATTATGGAAAACGTGTATTGGCATTGTAAGAGAATATTTTTGATATTGCTGCAGTCATATTGTGAATATATATGTATCTAAAGATATCGGAAGAAAAAAGTGAGAGGGTCGACGAGCATTAAAGTTTCAACCCCTGAAACGGCTTCTCTTGAATCACCCTCAGGGCTTCCGATCAATTTTAGCCGGTGCTTTTCCTATACCACACAAATTTAAATGCATAAAATCAGTGCGTCCATTCTCCAGTTACATTTTCTCAGGCAATAAATATTGACACCCTTGTACAACAATTACACTTAACACAAACGTTTATATCCCAAACATATTCACTTTTTTTTTAAACAAATTTTTTAAATTTATTTAAAAATTATTAGAAACGAAGGTCATAATTACGATTTGTATCATAATTATTATTACGTAAGCTGTGAATATTCGGAAATTGGTTTCTTTCTTTAATTGACATTTATAAAAATGGAACATATTTTTCAAATATACTTCGAAAATATTACTTAACTATAAGAAAGAAAGTTATTTAAATTCCAGTAAGTTATTATTACTGTGTGGGGCGCATTTTCGGGTGTTTTTTAGGTTGAATTCCCTTGCCTTTCATTAAACTAATTCTACAGTTTACAAATATACGTCGAAAGTAATACGACTGAATCAATTTCAAATTTTATTTTTTTAGAATTGCCGCACTTTTGTAGATTGTCGATATCAGCGCTCTCGGTGGAAAAAAGTGGCACCATTTGTCGTCTGTTACTGTGATTATTCAGTGCAGATGTTGTTTTTATTAGACAAACAAATTATTAGAAAAATAACTAAACCTAAAAAAATAGTTAAATAACCCGACAAGTAAATTTTATAATTCTATTTAGGAAAAAACTAATACCAGCCCAGGAATTCCATTATTGTTACTTTACAGCAATTATAGACCGCGGAGAGAGGGATAAGGATAAACATCATTAATTAGACAAAATTTATAACAATAACACTATTTATTAATATTCACTTTAAATTTTAGAAAAAGTTAAATAATGGCAGAAGGCCGAAAGACAAGATTTATATTTTATGTATTCAATTATACTTTAATAATAATGAGATCGATCCTAAAGGAAGCGACTCCTAATTAATTTATTGGGACTCGCCGTCCATTTGACGACAACGATAACACCTCGTCTCATTTTTATAATTTTATATTTTAATTATTTTACACAAAAAAGAGTAGAACACAACTTGACTTTACGAACACCAGGATCAGAATGAGAGTAAAATGGCTGACGAGTCAAACTCGAAAGCATCGCTTAACAGCGGCCTTTCTTTTCGGTGTCATTGAGATCAATTAATATTCAATAATATAATACCCACGACCGATAATCGATACACAGTCGTCGGTAACGCAGATCCCTACACAATCCGATGTTAAATTGATTGATGCGAGAAGTATATAGGAAATTGAGTGCCAGTATTGATTTGACAGATCGTGTGAACAAAACAGCAATTTCGTCTTCTTGGCGTTCTTGAATATTCGGGACTCTCATCCAAGTATATACACCAGGAAGCTCATCTTCTAATTTCAATTATGGATAGTGATGTCCTCAACGTCTTTGTGACCCATCGAGAATCCTCAATGCCTCGCGAGAGTTTTCATAACAGTACAAAAAGACAAATCAGAATCGAATTTATTTATTACGAGTCGACTATTAATCTGACGACTTTGGCAAGTTGGTTTGTTAATTAGTGAATTTATTATATAAACAAAATGAAGTAAATATCATAAGAAAAATTTTTTTATAATTCATAACATTTTATAGCTATTATGTCTAGAGTCCCAATCTGGTGTCGTTTATTTACAAAATTTATTTAAATTTATCATTAGTATGTATGTATATATTTAATACTTTTATTCATAATTAATTAGATGTTGAAATAATATTTTTGTAAATAAATGTTATTTATCCAATATATATATATATATATATATATCTTCCTATATTACAAAAAGATATCGCCGCCGCCTCCGCTGTTTCAAGAAATCTCGACCTAGGAGGGGAGGAGTCCCCCCCTCCTAAATTTTGAGGTTATGTTCGTTTCAAGGCTCTGTATATAGCCGCAAGTCCCCCCTCCCTCCTCTCATTTCCCCTCCTCCGCCAAAATGGCCTAAATTTTAAGGTTATGTTCGTTTCAAGACTGAATATAGGCGCAAGTCCCCTCCCCGCCAGAAATGACCAAAATTTTGAAGTTATGTTCGTTTCAAGGCTATGAATATAGCCGCAAGTCTCCCCTCCTCCGCCAAAAATGACCTAAATTTTGAGGTTATGTTTGTTTTGAGACCCTAATAAAGCAGTAAGTTTTTAATATTTAATATTCATATTCAGATTTCAATGAATTTGTAATATGTAATAATTTTTTGAAATAGATGGTTCATTTGGAAAAATAAGATCAATAGAAAATTTAAAAAAAAATGATTAAAACAGGGGGGTTGGCGCGCGAAGCGTATATATATATATATATATATATTACAAAAAGATATCGCCGCCAACGCCGCCGCCGCCGCCGCTGTTCCAAGACTCTGAATATAACCGCAAGTCAAGAGAAGGGGGGGGTAGAAGAAAAGGGAGGGGGGGACTTGAGGCTATATTCAGAGTCTTGAAACGATCTTAACCTTTAAATTTAGGGTTGGGGGAGGGGAAAAGGAGGGGAGGAGAGGAGGGGGGATGGGAGTTGGCGCGCGAGGCCGCTGTTCCACGACTCTGAATATAGCCGCAAGTCAAGAGAAGGGGGGTAGAAGAGAAAGGGGGGACTTGCGGCTATATTCAGAGTCTTGAAACGGTCTTAACCTTTAAATTTAGGGTGGGGGAGGGGAAGAGAGGAGGGGGGATGGGGGTTGGCGCGCGAAGCGCGCAGGGGGCATAGCCCCCTAGTATATATATATATATATATATGAATTGAAACAGGAGAATCTGTCAAAAACAGGACGAAACCTAACGATAATATTTTGACAATATTGAACTTTGATTATTATTTATCGTAAACTCTCGCTTGAATGCAAAACTAATTTTTAATATCAGTATAGTAAATGTCAGTTTCAGAATTCCTCTAAGTTTTCTCATTATAAATAAATGATTCATAATTTTTTTTTTTTTTTTTTTTGAAAGAAATCATATACATATAGCAAAAAAATAAAAATAATATTGAAATTCATACATTTTTCAAAAGAAATCATATACTGTGGAAAAAATAGAAAATATTAAGATTAATCTTATGAGTAAATAGATATATATGTATATAGTGACTGCTATCAATTTTATCTGAAACTATAGAACGATAAACATTGGAACTGACACGAAGTTACTCTTCTTTGTGTTTTCGCGTAATTGAAAAGATCTATTCACCTGTTTCTATTCATAGTGTCAAGTTACATTTGTGGGAGTGGTGTGCGAAAATGGGGGTATATCCTTTAACCTTTTCAAGCATGCAAAGCTTTAAATATTTGTTTTAACATTATATATATTTCTTTCAATGATTTTCCTCGAGTTTTACAAAATAAGTTAAATAAAAAAAAGGTCGTTAAAATCTTACAAAGAATAATTTACAGATATTAAAAATTTCCTACAGAAAAACAATTTAATAAGTAAAATAATGTAATATAATATTTAAAAATTTATGTTTTGATTCTATAAAGAAACTATTAATGCAATAATAATTATAGTCAAAGCTCTTATCCGCAATCGATGATTTCGAATTATATATACTTTATATTTTCTTTGTTCATTAATAAAACAAATTTATTGTTGAATTTTGTTCTTTTAAATTATTTAATATTTTATTCGAGTGCTTTTCTTTGAATTTCTATATGTATATAAAATTATAATTTTTATTAGATGGCCATTTGAAGGGAAAATAAAGCCTTAAAATCCATGTTATGTTGAAAAATAAATTTTCTTCTATTATACACTTTGGTTTTTGGGAACATCAATATTACATTATTTGATATTCTTATTTTGGCTGTTTACAGAAACGATATGTTGTCCACGGAAAGAAAGTTTGTAGCAATATTTGATATTATGGTGTTACTTTTTAGTATATTTGGTTACAATTGCGGAACATTTTGGCATGATAACGATTTTCGATACTATTTTTAAGAATGATTGAGATTAAAATAAGAATATTTAATATAGTTAGAAAGAAAATTTGATATAATATTTACGAAATCTGAAATCTTTTTATTGCAACACAAAAATGTCAAATTTTAATAAGCTCTTTATCAATTTTTCTAACCAAATATTTCAAATTTCGTAATTAAAATTCTATAAAATGATATAATTATTTCAGATTTTGATATATTTGATATGAAAATTGAAAAAGAAATATCAAAG